ATTACAATTGTACACACCAACTTGAATTTGTGACTCAAGACGATAATCAGTATAATATTTCTCGCTCTGTGGAATCTGCTGTGAGAGGATGATCTTGGATGAAAACTCATTTTACAAGTACTATTTGCTGGTAGTAGAGGATTCATATCTAAATCACCTTCTAACCAGTAAAATAACATGGATGTTTACTTAATTTTATGTCCAATGATGTCATACCCAAATAAACACAAATCTAATATACAAATCATATAAATAACACTCACCTTCAAAAATATTGCAATATACGCCTGTGCTAGTTCAAAATCCTGATTACTTTCCAACATGTGTTGTAAGAACTGTAAGAACTGTAACATGTGTTCAATGGAACCTCCACCAATGGGTGATAGGCTTCTAATCTCTATATCAATACTGGACGGTGACAGTTCTTTCAGTTTACCTAATATTGACTCAACTGGAATATCAAAGCAAAGTAATTGACATGAAAACAATGATGTAATTTCCTACAAAGCTGTCATTAAATCATATTGATTCGTGTAATCTCAATATTAGATAAAACCTCCACAAAATAAAATATAAATCAGTATTCAGTTGCAGGTACTATAGGAAAATATTTTAATTTCTGGTCATTGTGCACATCAGTATCCCACTATTACAATATACTTGTACATGTAGATCTATACTGGTCCAGCCAGCGCAATTTTACAAAAAAAAATTCTTAAATCGTGGTCCAATGCTAAATTACTACAACTGGTCTATTCTGAGGCATATTCATTGTTATTATTTTTTCATGATAAGCAGTGACGTTATGGAACACTTCCAAAAGAGGGAAGAGGGCATGTGCTTTCGCAAAAGATTTTATACATCAGGACACATGTGTGTTATGGTTACGTATAACAGATCAGACCATGAGCTTATTGGTTGGCAGCTTACAAGTCATGATACTGATTAGCATATTTATCACCACAAAAACATGGTGACAACTATAGAGAGCGTGGCAGAACAAACCAGTCACCCCGTGTCGCCCCCTTTTGTGTGTATATTTTTACAACAAAGAAAAAACTTGACGACGCAAATTTGACCACTTTGTTCTTTTTCTTGGTGTCAGCTTTCAACTGTAATTCGTCTCCCTCATGCATATCTTGTTCATTTTTACCCATGTTTTTTAGAAATGGATAGAAGTTAGGGCAGGCACGCCAGAAGCTCATCGCCGCCGGTTTTGTCCCCTCAATTTACGAGGAGACTGTGTAGCGGTTATGATCAGAATTTACCATTTTCAAAATGCTACGTGTGCTTAGACTGCCTGCGGGGCTTTGTAATAACTGGGGTTCTGAGGCCTTGGATACTTTCCAGAGCCACGTCCAAATCGCTGAGACTGACTGCGTCACTCGTCTTCACAGCAAAGGTTGTGTGTCCAGTAAACTTGGTGTAAGTGAGTGGTGTGTTGGCATGAGAAGAAAGTTCTCCCACTTGTCTACCAGTACCTCATGTGCCAAGACGTCGAGTGAGAGGCCCGACAATGGAGGTCCCGAGATTTCCCAGCCCCCCGTGCTGATGGAAGGGCATCCTCGCCATCTGTTGTTTCAGACAGTGGTTTGCCTGAGCATGCCAGTTCAGGCCTTTGAGTTTGGTGGGGACCAAGCAGGACAGAGATTTGTACATTGACATTTTACACACACACACCCCCGCGCATTCTGCCAGCCAGGGATCGTCTGATGGACCAAGCGACAAGGGATTAATTTTATTTTCCCCAAGTCTTGCCTCCACTACAGGTCACTCCCCCTTTGAGGACCCACGGATGCTCCCAGAGGGGACCTGCTTGGCCATAAAAAAATTAGTCTGTGGAGTCTGTTCTTCATAATGACTCTTCTCTTTTCGGGATCCAAAGCAATACCAACTGCAGGACTCTCCTGGTCTGGCCGAGTGCTGGACGTAAGGGCACAGGTGGTGTTGGCCTAAATCTATAGGGTTGGGCAATTTTATGTCAATCTTTTCCGCTGGACCAAGTGCTACCCAATCAAGCGGTGTTTGAGACCGGAGTCAGCAGTGTCTGGAGTCAAATCTTTGTAGCCGATCAGATCCTTTTGTTCCTCTCTGACCCCAGCACCACGAAAGGGGGTGGCAGCGTTCTAGGGTTTTTTTTAAACCGCTTAGTCGGAAACAATCCACGCACTGAGAGCAGAGTGGTGACCCTCAACCTTCAAGTTGTGGCCAGCCAAATGGAACGCATTGTTTTGCGCCATCAGCACTCTAAGTCTCAAAGGCAGAACGCACCAGCCTCCTAGACCAGCAGACACAGCCATTGGTGAGAGACCACACGACTACACGGGATATCCCGCAGTGTCATCTGGCTCTCGTGGCAGGGGCTGCCTCTGTACAGCAGATTGCGGTTTTGGCTGTTTTCACTGGGCGCATCACCACCTCAGTACGCAGACTGGACCTCCCCAACCCTCTTCTTTTTTGAGGATGGAAGGAGCAGTCTCGGTGCTTCGGGATCCCACTGACCAGTTGGTACAGGTGAAGACCCGCAAGCCAGTTTGGCTTCTGCCAAGGACAAGCGGTAAGGGGGGGGGAGTGGCGACCCCCGTCTTTGGAAAGCTCCGGGAATAAGGGACGTCCCATAAATAAAGTTTGCAGGAGGAAAAGGTAAACCATAGTTATCAAATTCCACTCTATCTGTTTCTTTTATAAAGCGAGGTAACAGTTTATAAATTGAATAACAGAAAGTCTTCAAATGTTCAATAGAAAATCGTTAACCCGAAACTTGAACAGTAACACAACACAATACAATACAGGAACACAGTTAAAATTATAGTTTCTTAAATGTCCAAAACTCCTTCTTCCAGTGTCTTCATCAATTGTAGAGGAGATGCTCCTTTCTTAGTTAAACAGTCTGCCAACTGTTTAGTCGTGTCTGACCAGATCACTTCTTTCACCAGTTTACTTTCTACCAATTCTTTTATACCACTTATCTCAATTCTTAGTTTTTTCTCACTGACTAATTTGGTAGACCTAATTGCTTCATATAGAGATTTGCAATCTGTTATGCAGGTAAGTGGTAAAGCGTCTGGATCAGGTATTCTTGTGGTCAGTTCAGCATACAGGGTGGCAATGAACACGCCTGCATCAATGGCATCAGCCATTGCCAACGTCTCTCCTGCTAATGTGCTTCGGACAACCCAACGGATTTTATGAGAGATTCCAACATATTGGTAAGAACTTTCCTGATTGTCCCCGTAAGAAAATAAGATACCCCTCTTGACTGCCACCATCTGGGAGGTTTCCCAAGGACGCATCGCTGAATACAATGAGAGATAGTTTACCCTCTCCCAGATATTGAAACTTCAGAGGCACAGTTTCTGATTTGACTTTTCTGATCACTTTGTTAACATCAAGAAGTTCTCTTACTGTCCCATCCTTGACTCGCGATGCTAAACTACATGCATCATACAACACATCTGGTCTACTCTGGTGCGCTATCCATAATATCTGTCCAATTTTTGACCTCATTAAATCTATCTCTTTGTCTGTAAGAGGGTGGTCCTTTTGCTTAGCTCTGGATTTGTCAATATGAATCTGTCTTAGGTTATCTGCATAATCAGTCTGATGTAGAGCTATTCCAAAATCTTCACTAATAAGCCTGATTCTTATGTATTGGAATGCACAACTATCTTCTTTACCTATGGAAAATTCAGTTCTCACACAATCAACAATTGAGGATTCAAATTGTTTAGTACCACCCACATAAAATCATCAACATGGCTTGCTTATATGCCAACGAGACATCCATCCTTATCCATCCAGTAGAAAACTGCAGGGTCTACCTTTGACACTGTTGCACCTAATCTTCTCATCACTGACCTTACTTTCTGGTACCAGTGTAAAGATGCATCACCCAACCCATACACACATTTCTTAAGATGACATATTACGTTAGTACAATTTGCCTCTTTGGATGGCTGGATATATACTTCTCTTCAGATTTCTTGTCTATGCAGGAATGCTGATTTTATATCCATTGAATATGGCTTTCATTTATTCTGTGCTAATAGGGCCAGAATCAGTCTTAACAACTCCTTTCCGCAGGTGGGCGAACCTTTAAGTATCTGATTACCCTCTACTTCTTCACCTTGTTCTGTAGTTTTCAAAGTGCACACCCATCTGGTCGATATGCACTTTTGACCATCATCAGGAATTTCCTCATAGACGGCATTTAACTTCCAGTTGTTCAATTCTTTTGATTTGGCCTTCTCAAATGACAAGTTCTCACAAACCAACACATCTTCATCATTTTTGCTCTCATCATTACTGGTAGGATTTATCACTTGAAGGTCATTAGCTTGTGTTAGATCTACAGATTGTTTGACACCTTCTAGTTGTGTTGGTTTGAAGTATTCTAGATTATACAACTTACAATATTTGCCAGTGACTTTGCCACCACGATTCAGTACCTTAGCAGTACCTTGGTGTTGCCAGGCTTAATTGCCTGATAGGTATTGGTCGTGTCGGCAATTGTAGGACTATGATTTTCATCAGGTTCTTTATTCCTAGTTTCCATATCATCATCAGGTTCCATATCTTGAGTCTTTGTCACAGCAGGAATACATGCATTTCTTTCAGTTTGTATGCCTTCATGTTTACCACTATCTTCTGACCAAATTTCTTTTTTTTTAATCTGCACTGATGAACTATCATTCCAGCATGACTTACAAATATCACAACACCATCACATTCTATTACTACTGCTGGTCGTTTCCATTTAGCAGCACCTGGCCTTTTGTAATAGACTTTGTCCCCCATCTTAACTGTTTCTGTAGCAGGTCTTACTTGCTTCCTTAGTGCTCGTCTAATTCTTTCTGAACATTCAGATTCTGTAAATATACGTCTCGCATTGTACAGACCAGAAATGTGTTTAGCCACAACTTCACTTGTTGTCATCCCTTCTAGAGCAGGAGGTTCATCAACTAGTGTAGAGGGTAGATTTGGGTTTTTTCCATAAACAAGTTGATAGGAACTATATCCGTGTACATTACACAAACTATTCTTTGCTGACAAAGCCCAGCTAAGCGCCGTCTCCCAGTCCAAACTTTTTTCTGACCTAACTTTTCTCAGAATTTCTGTTAACGATTGGTTGTGTCTCTCCAGAAGCCCATTGCTCCATGGACTGTAAGCTGCAGTAGTTTTGAACTCAATGTTAAAATTCTCACACATTTCTATTACCTCCTTATTATTAAACTCACCACCATTGTCGCTGAACAATCCCTTTGGTGCCTGATGTATGCTAATCCAATGCTGGATAAAGTTCTGTACAAAAACAGACGGTTTCTTACTGGTAATTATGGATCCAGCGCTAAATCTAGCAAACTCATCTATGATGTGTAAATACCATAAGGTTACTTTCCAACTCATGCAAATCGACAGCTACAGTCTCAGAAGCTAATGGAAAACCAACTG